AAAAAAAAAAAAAAAAAAAAGATCAAGCATAGGAAAAGAAGCATTTTCAAAATGTAAGATTATTGATGTGTATGGAATAATTTGGTACTATAATGCATCCTGTCTTTTTTTTTTTTTGAGTTGGAGTCTCACTCTGTCACCCAGGTTGGAGCACAGTGGCATGCTCCCAGCCACCACAGCCTTGACCTGCTGGGCTCAGGCAATCCTTCCACCTCAGCCGTCCAAGTAGCCGGAACTACAGGCATGTGCCACCATGCCTAGCTAATTTTTAAAAAATTTATTGTAGAGATAAGGTCTCACCAAGTTGCCCAGGCTGGTCTCGAACCTGAGGGCTCCCAAAGTGCTGGGATTATAGGCATGAGCCACCGCGCCTGGCAACATTCTGTCTTTTAACATTTAAAACGCTTTTATTATTTTTTTATTTAGAGACAAGGTCTCACTCTGTCACACAGGCTGGAGTGCAGTGGGGCGATCACAGCTCACTGCAACCTCAAACTCATTGGCTTAAGAGATCCTCTTGACTCAGCTTCACTGAATAGCTAGGACTATAGGCAGTGTCACCATACCCAGCTAATTAAAAAAAATTATTTTTTGTAGAGACAGGGGTCTCACTATGTTGCCCAGGTTGGTCTCTGTTGGGAGCCAGCCATGGAGGCCTGCCTGAGCGTTAGGGATCCAGGCAGGCTGCGGACCCTGAGACCACCAGGCTGGTTCAGGAGCTGAAGGTCCATTCCCTCCTCCTTTCCTTGTTGTTTAGCATTATCCACTGGTAGGGATTTTAACGATCTAAGCATGAAGTTCTGAGAATATGACAGGCATGGCTGACTCTAGGGATCCATTGTTCCCGCTTCTCACAGACTGCGGTTTCGGCTTTAAACTTAACACAGTTCAAACTCAGATCACATTTGAGAGCCTTATACGTGATACAAGCTTTTTTATAAGATTTAAAAATATATTTGTAGAATTAGTATATACATTTAGAGAGCTGTTTCCAGCATGAGATGGTTGTCTAGGGTTACCAGAAATGGCCCAGCACGAACTTTGGGCTGGGCCACATCCCTAAGGGCCCAGCGTCCATTTGGGGCTGGGCTGCATTCCTTTAATACGGTTCTTTAGTTACAATTAGTGTAAGTTTTTTCTACTTATAATAGAAACTGAATTCATAGAAAGTATTTTAGAATAGGTCATGCTACGTCAGGGAATTATGTTAGTCCAAGCATGATCAAACATGATACTTTAAGGTTTTATAAGAATACAGCTAACTTTTGAAATTTCATTGTTCCCACTTTCTACTAATTGTGATTTTGGCTTTAGTACAATTACAGTTTGTATTTGGGTTTTGTTTTAGAAGCTTTATTGCTGATGATCAGCCTTATATATCAGGATTAAGAAACTTTTGTAGAAATTAAGATAGATACATAAGATTTTAGAATAGCCATTTTGTTAAGAGATCATAATCAATTGTTCCTAGAAATGACCCAGCGTGATCTTTGGACTGGGCCACATTCTTTAGGAACTGGTCTGACTTATAATTAAGAGTTTTTTATAGTACAGGTAAAGTTAGCACAGAATAGAAAGGTTAAGTCAGTTATTAGGTGTTGGGTATGCATAAGTTTTAGAAGTTATTGTTATTAGAATTTTATTAAATTAAAACTGTTGTATTGCTTTTGAGGAACATAAACCAAGCACAAGGAAGAGTGAGATAATTTTGGGATTGTCCTTCCTCATGCTTGGGGAAAACGCCTGGTGGGCGGGGACGCCCCCCGACCCACCTGGCTTTGTGTTCATGTAAAACTCTTGTGATTTGATTAAGATTGTCCTTCCTCATTCCTAAGGAAACGCCTGGTGGGGGGGGGACGCCCCTCACCTACCTGGCTTTGTGCCCACGTGAAAGTCTTGTGATTTAACATGTGAACGTTTGGGATAAAAGACTCACGGCTGGTCCCAATAAACGGCTTCTGCTCATTTCACTGAACAGTTGTCCACTTTCTTTCTTTCTCTTTCTTCCTCCTTATATCTATGCCTCCATCTTGCTTTCTTTTAATGTCTGTCCCTACTACGGAATCGGCTTCTACACTAGACAGAGTCCAGTCTCTTTCTTCCCTTCCATTTCTCCAGAATATTCGCCGACGCTGCCCCACCTTCCAGGGACCCTCTAAATCTCTTTTGGGGGGCCGGCCCCCCATAGAGGTCAAGCTGCCAGTCACTCTTGGACTGGTCCTCACCTCTCTCCCACTGACTCTGGGAACTGCTTCCCATTGACCTCAATCCCTGGCTTTTGAAGGGGGCCCCTGCCCTTACCCCATGTCTGGGGCCTGTGGCCTTGTTATTCATCCACTCAGCAATTTATTGAGAGTTTTCTTTTCCCTTTTTCTTTTTTTTTTTGAATCAGGGCCCCACTCTGTCACCCAGGTTGGAATGCAGTGGCAGGATCATGGCTCACTGCAATCTTGACCTGCTGGGCTCAGGTGATCCTCCCGACTACAAGTGTGCACTGCCTAGCCCGGCTAATTTTTTAATTTACTGTAGAGATGAGGTCTCACTAGTTTGCTCTCAGCCTCCATAGTAGCTGGGTCTACAGGTACATGCCACCATGCCTGGTTAATCTTTTGATTTTTTTTTTCACACTATGTTGTGTAGGCTGGTGTTAAACTTCTGGCTTCAAGTGATTCTCCTGTCTCAACCTCCCAAAGTGCTGGGATTACAGGTGAGCCCCCACACCTGACCACCTTACTGAGAACTTTCTATGTGTCAGATATGATTCTAGGTTCTGTAGACACAGCAGTGAATGTGATAGACCAAGTCACTCACCTTCTTCCCTGTAGCTCATTTTTATTCAGTGCAGAATGAAGATAATAATCATACCTTCTTTACAGGCTTGCTGTGAAGGTTAAATGGATTTGTACATGTCACATGCATAGAACAGTGCTTGGTGTATAGTAGATACTCAATAAACAGTAACCATTGCTAGAACAGATGGCGTACTTGGCCCAGGGCCTTGATAAAGATCACCATACCCAATTGTTGAGGGAGGAAATCCAAGCATAGAGGTGAAACAACGTCTTCCAGGTTGCACAGACATCTCGTGGCAGAGGTGGGAACACCAAGGGGGCCTTGGGTATAAGATTGCTTTCTTAGGGCGGTCAGCTTTACCCTAATACAGATGTTCTAAAAGAGAGTGAACTTCTGAACCAGGCACAATGACCGTAGCTCAAGCTGTAGACATGCTGGCTTGTTGGCTCTGCTTCCTGGATAGTGCCATGCCTCCATGGGACAGTCCCACCTCCCACTGAGTGCCACACACTGAAGAATTAGACGAGGCCACCGATACCCTGCCAGTAGACCCCTGCTGGAGGCCTTGTCATCCGTAGGTTCTTGGGAGTTCAGAGAAAGATTCGGATCCAAGTAAATCCATGCTGAGGCTCAAATGACATCACAGGTGTTCAAGTCATTTGATACAAAGGATGGTTTTTGTTTTTGGTTTTGGAGTCAGGGTCTCACTCTTGTGGCCCAGGCTGGAGTGCAGTGGCATGTTCATGGCTCACCGCAGCCCCAACATGCTGGGCTCAGGTTATCCTCCCACCTCAGTCTTCTGAGTAGCTGGGATTACAGGTGGACACCATCATGCCTGGCTAATGTTTTGATTTATTGTAGAGATAAGGTCTCACTAAGTTGCCCAGGCTGGTCTCAAACACCTAGGCTCAGTCAGTCCTCCCACCTCTGCCTTCCAAAGCACTGGGATGACAGGCATGAGCCACCACGCCAGGCTAAGATGGCAAATTTTAGTTCATGAAGCAGCTGGGGTTGAGAGAAGATCAAGGTAAGGATTCAGGGACTCCAAAGTGGTCTAAGAGACCCTCAAGGCTGTAAGCAGGATCTCTGCCTGGAAGACAGACGCCTCTGAGGCCTGGAGTCACAAGTCCCAGCTAAGGGCCTTGGTCAAGTCACACAGCATCTCCTCTGCTGAGGAGGATTGTGACGATGACCTCACAGGGCTGGTGTGAAGGGCACATGCAAGCGGGGCGTCTGGAGAAGCGTGAACAAAGGTGCCCATTTATGAAGGTGTGGTGGCAGCGGGAGACATGGGAGAGAGCATGGGGCCTGGTCAGCAGCAAGTGTCGGGCCGGGACGGAGCCTGAGGGACAGAGGACTGAGCAGTTGTCACGGTCTCCTGCTGCACCCAGGGAATACGACGGAGGGGGTCACGTGACAGGAATAGAGGCCGATGCTGGGACCAGAGTGCCAGCCCCTGGTGGAGCCTCCAGTGGGAGCGAGCTGGAGAAGTATCCAAACTTCACCGTCTTCACAGCCTCCCAACTCCTGCTGCCTTCCCCTGGCCAGACTCCAGAAGACACGTGAGGTCATCAGACACGGAGGCCTCCAGGAGCACTCACCTAGCAGGTGAATTGCCTGTACAACAAGGGCAATTCCAGGTTTTGTCCCTCTGAAAGACAATTCCAGGTTTGGGGTCCCTCTTCGCATTTCTCCCCAGGGTCCCTATCTCTCCCCCATGGCCTGGGAACTCATCCTCCATGGAGGCTGGCCTCCCAGGCTCAGTGGAGGATGGAGAAGCAAGAAAGAGGATCCAGCGACCGTACCCCCATCCCAGCAGATGGAAGCCGCTCAGTTTCCAGGAGCGTTTTTTGAGGCTTTCTAGTGTCTGAATCAACCGCAGGCGAGAAAGTCATGTGCTTCCTTGAGGTGCCACTTGACTGAAAATCGGGCCTCACACGCACATGCCAGGGCGCCGGCCAGGCTCACCTGGAGCCGGGAGGATGAACAGCAGGCTCTTCCACGCTGGCCTTGTGCCAGCGCTGTCTCTGCTTCTTTGCTCCTCCTCGTTCTCTGTCGTCCTTGCCCAGGAAGCCGCCATCTGGCCGCAACCTACCTCGGGGAGATGTTGTGAGCCGAGAGCCTGGGGCACAGCTCCTACTGCCCTGAGAGATGACGAGTGGCTGCTTGGTGGTGGATGCCCTCAGTGGCATTTTAATATCCAGCTGTCCCCCACCTTACACTGCTGAAGGTGCTTCACACAGAGAGCCCTGATTGCAGTGGCAGTAATTCCCTTCAACAGCCATTAAGACACTTCTGAACGTGTTATTAAAGAAGAAGAGAGAAGGGGAGGGGAGCAGGAGTGGGCAGGCACCCCTTCCGTCTCCCGGAAAATATCAGCGCTTGGGGTGAGCTTAACTCAGTGGCTGGGATTTGGCCACAGGTGTGTTGGTGGCTATTAGCGCATCCTGGAGCCTGTGACTCGGCTGGGTCAGCCTGGGGGGTGGGTGGGGGTGACGTGGAGTCTCCTGAGGACTGTGCAGCTGTCCAGAGACCCTGAGATGAAGGGGAAGCCGAGTCCAGCTCTCCTGGGGTTGCTCCTGTCCAGACTGCTCTCAGCATCCTCCGTCCGAGAGAGCTGCTGTCTCAAGTCCTGGAGAGGAAAGCTTGAGACCCTGTGTCCAGCTGGGACATGTCTTTATATTTTCTTCCTCACCATCTGAAAAAAGGCTGACCTGCTAGGTAATGTATGTAGACCCAGGCTGAGAGAAGACAGAGCTGGAAAGATCACATTTGCTAAAGTGGGCTGGTGGGGATAATACCTACCATTGCAATGATGGAAGGAGTGGGTGCCAGTTGTGGCCAGTCCTAGGGTAGGGAAGGGAATGGACCATCCCTCCCTCCCACCTATACTGCCCCCTATTAAACCTCCACCTAAGTGCCTGCCCCTGGTGTTCTTTCACCAGCCAATCACCCCATCACTTTGGGAGATCGAACTGGGAGGATCTCTTGAGGTCAGGAGTTTGAAACCAACCTGAGCAACATAGCAAGAACTGGCCTCAAAATAAATCAAAAATTAAAAACAGGAGGCCAGGTATTGCCTTGAACCCCAGCTGCATATTCAAAGGGAAGCAGGAATTGGGAAACAGAGTCTTAGGGTAGAGGAGGAACAAGGAGGAGGCTGTGGGAAATAGACCGTGGAACATTTGAGAGACCTGCAATCTCACTCCAAGGGGCGGGGAGCTGGGAGGTAGGGGAGGGGACATCCAAGGGTATCCAGTGCTGAGGCCCAATGGAAAGAATATCCTCCAAGAGAGATGATACCCACAGTGAAGAACCTCAGCCACTTTGTAATGTTGCCTGCGGGCACCAGCCATCATCTGGCCCAGGTGTGGCCATGGCGGGACAGGCAAGGGCATGTTGGCCAACAGTCCAGCAGCCATGAGGGAAGGAGAAGGAGGGTCTCTTGGGAGCACCCAGGAACCTGGCCCATGGTTGAGCCTCCCAGGGTCCCATCTTGGATTAGAAGCACTTCTTACAGCCTGGGAAACATAACAAGAACCCATCTCCATAAAAAAATAAAAATAATTAGCCGGGGGTAGTGGAATGCACCTGTACTCCTAGCCACCCAGGAAGCGGAGGTGGAAGGATCGCCATAGCCCAGGAGGTCGAGGCTGTGGTGATCCATGATTGTGCCACTGCACTCCAGCCTGGGCTACAGGGTGAGACCCTGAATGTCTCCAAAAAAGAGAAAAAGAAGTGCCCTCTTGCGCCTGTGAAGGGCCTCCCCCTTGATGTCCAGCTCTCGTTGAGTCCTGGGAAGAAGCTTCCAGAGGCACCTGAAGGAAGTCAGGGCTCACACTCATGGCAGCGGAGGCTTCCGGACTCTGTGGGGCTGTTAGCTGGCATACCGTCCAGGAGACTAGGCCAGAAGACTTAAAAATAGCATTTTCTATAATTGCCCGAGTCTCTGGGTGTTTAGTAACCATGTCTGGCAGTCTATACCCAAGGCAGGCGGGCTGTAGGGAAAGGCATTGTTAAAATGAAATCATTAGCTTAATAGGCTTGATGAAAAGGCGGTGAGATGGGAATTCCTTTTTGCAATGTGTTCTCTACTCAAAATAGGCCCCCAAACCAGCGACCACAGTCATTACGGAATAGAACGCTCAGTCTCTCACGTACTGCTTTGTTTTCTTATGCACCTGATAAACATGAGCTCTGGAAACTGCTGGAAGTCCCATAATGCTCAGTGTCAGAGGAGGCTATGCCACCTTGTATCATTTCTTCCCTGATTTGTGGTATCATTTGTTTTGTTCCCCAGGGATGACATACACACACAAATACACACACAAGTACACACACGAGAACATACACATGCACACAACACACATGTTTTGCCATCTTCCAAGGAAGAGAAACAGCAGCATGTGCAGGATAAACTTGAAGTGGTGAAGCCAGAGATGAGGCCAAGTGCTCAGTGACTTCAGCATTGAATATTGAGCCCAGAATGAGAGGCAACCCAGGAGAAAGGGGCTCAAGCAGGAGGTACCAGGATGTGATGACACCCGCTGCAGAAAAGCACCGAAAAACTAGTCCTGACCGGGCTTAGTAGTTCAAGCCTGTCATTCCAGCACTTTGGGAGGCTGAGGTGGGAGGATTGCTTGAGGTCAGGAGTTCAAGACCAGCCTGGGCTACATAGTGAGACCTCATCTCTATAAAAAAATAAAAATTGAGGCGGGTATGGTGGTGCATACCTGTATTCCATATTCCAAGTTACTCAGAAGGCTGAGGCAGGAGGATCACCTGAGCCTGGAGACTGAGTCTGTGGTGAGCCATGATCATGCCTGGGCACTCCAGCCTGGGCAACACAGTGAGACCCTGAGAAAAAATAAAAATAAAGGAAAGAAAGAAAAAGAGAAACGAGTCCTTTGCAAGCCTACCTGTGGTAGCTTAGGGAGGGCTTGTCCCCCACTCCACCAGGAGCAGAGTGCTTCGACCCTTCCAGGCCAGCCCTAGGTGGCTTTAGCCACAGGGAAGTGGCAAGAGCCAGTCCTGAGCCTCTGCCCTCAGCTGGCCTGGCAGTGTGTTAGTCCAGGCTGCATTTATAACCGAATGCCATAAAGTGCATGGCTTTTAAGCCATAGGAATTTTCTGCTCGGGATCTGGTAGGCTCCAAGTCCAAGTGTCTGGCAGGACCTCTTGGTTCATTCACAGATAGAGACTTCTCACTGGGTCCTCACACA